ACGCAGTGACAACGTGTGAAGCGTACCCAAGTAAAGGTGGGTCTGGTGACGAGGGTCAGAATCTGTCTACCAAGTCTGAGACGATAGTGGCTTACATTCAGGTGACGATTCGAAGCGAGAAAACGTTCAAGGAAAAAATATTGTGTCGGCTGAACGAAGAGCTGGATAAAAATCCTTTGCTGAAGAATATAAAGCGCGCCTTCGTGGTAGTAGGCCCCGACCCGTAATCTGCGAGATGTTTGACCTCAAGGGTGCACTAGACACTAATACGTTTCTAACGATGATAAGCTGCTTTAATACTGAACAGTTGGAGCGGAAGCTAAGCTAAGATGGCGCTTAATTAGTAAAGTGCATTTATTTTGATGTACATTGTTTATGACTTTGAGGCCATCCATAAGCCTACCGCGACTCCACACGGAGAGAAAACTGTCTTCACGACGAGCACATCCCGGTGTCTGTATCAATAGCTAATACCCTAACCAAAGAGGCGCGTTGCTTTGTAAACGATGATCCGAAGAAGCCACTTACGATTATGTTCAAATATATCGGTGGTGTATCTATGAAGATCAAGCAGCACAATGCCAATAAATACAAATCGCTTTTACAGAAAATCATCAACGTTCACGGTCTGACAGAGATCTGATGTCGAGGGTTGGGTGGATTGAACAAGGAAAGTATGCCAGCTTCGTTGACTTTCATAGCAGTCTTGGCATTGGTAAGCAAAGGTCTGACTAAAACAGCAGATTGATCAGGTACCAGTATTTTGTTTCAATTCTGGTCGATACGATAGTACTTGATTAAACAGAATTTGTATGCCGTTATTGGTACCGATAACATTTATCAAGAATCCCAGCTACATGTGCATTGCTACATTGGACATGAAAATGCTTGATATTATATTATTTATGCACCAGCTGGTACCAGCTAAGATAAATATCCTACAACATATCTCGGTGGCTGTAAATGTGATGACAAAATTAGATGTATCTGTGGTCTTGGTAAGGGTCTTCTTCCTTACGACTACATTAATGCATTCGATGTACGTAATCAGACTACCATTTCATTTAAGTCAGCGTTTGACAGAAAGTTCCGAGGAACAAGCATCACCAAGGATGACTACGAACGAGTAAAGTTTGCGTGGAAGTACTACGAGATGAAATCGATCAAGGACCTATTGATCTGGTACAACAATCTCAACGTTGTCCATTTATCAAGGCCATCAAGGCTCAATGAGAAATTTTCAAGCATTTCGATCTGAGTATGTTTAAGGATGGAGTGTCCTTACCTGGTCTTTCAGAGAATGTCTGCTTCGATAATCTCCGATATCCGGATAAGAAACCTGCTAACGCATTCCAATGTCTAGCTCAGCGTATGGCTAGCTACGGTCAGGATGCTAAGGCAAAGCGAAAATTTGTTTTGACACTCGAGCACGTGAATAATCGCTGCAAAAGAAAAAAAAATTGGCGTGGTCTATGCTTTTGTCAGCTGACTGCTGATACCGCTTCAGCGGATCGTATCAACAATAATGTAGGCCACATCGACGGTAATATCGTGGGCAGCTGCGTTAAGTGCAACACCGCTTGAAAAGACATGTCGCTATAGGGGGTTTCGGTATAATAAGTTGCTTGAGTTCAACTCGGATAGACTAGTCTACTTGATCGACAAGGAGGAAAAGGTTATCTAATCTAAGATGAAGGCCAACTTAGCTGGAGGTCCATCTATCATATTTTATTGCTACGCTAAGTGCAGCGCGGCTGCCGTAGCATAGCGCTTGAGGAAGCGTAATTTTTGGTCACCGACCTTCCGTTCTATAACAAGAAGGAGTCAGCGGATCTCAATACGCTTACTCCAAGAGGAATATTTGCCTTACCTAAGGCTAATCAGCTCTTCATTTTAAAATCCACACTTGATTTTTATTTTTTTCCTAATTTAG